CCTGGCCAGGATCATGACCCGTTTGCAGGCCCAGGTCCGCGGGTTCCTCTCCCGCCAGGAGTTCAAGAAGATCCTGGAACGCCGGTGGGTGGGAGGTTGAGGTAGTTATGGAGTCCCCCGTGGGGCTGGGAGGACCTCTGTGACCCACATCTCCTGCCCCCCAACCCCAGGGACTCCTTGCTGGTCATCCAGTGGAACATCAGGGCCTTCATGGGGGTGAAGAACTGGCCTTGGATGAAGCTCTACTTCAAGATCAAGCCCTTGTTGAAGAGCGCGGAGACGGAGAAGGAGATGCAGGTTGGGCTCGGAAGGGTGGGGTGGGGGTGGTGGAGAAGACCTCCCTGAAGGGTGGAAGGGGGTTGAGCCCCACCTTTCCTGCCCCACAGACCATGAAGGAGGAGTTTGGGCGGCTGAAGGAAGCCCTGGAGAAGTCGGAGGCCCGGCGGAAGGAGCTGGAGGAGAAGATGGTCTCCATGCTCCAGGAGAAGAACGACCTCCAGCTCCAAGTGCAGGCCGTGAGTGAGGACCCCACACATGCCCCATAACCACCTCGAGATGTGGGACCAACCCCACCCCCACCCCACCCCCTCGAACAGGAGCAGGACAACCTGGCGGACGCCGAGGAGCGCTGCGACCAGCTGATCAAGAACAAGATCCAGCTGGAGGCCAAGGTGAAGGAGCTGACGGAGAGGGTGGAGGAGGAGGAGGAGATGAACGCCGAGCTGACGGCCAAGAAGAGGAAGCTGGAGGACGAGTGCTCGGAGCTGAAGAAGGACATCGACGACCTGGAGTTGTCCTTGGCCAAGGTGGAGAAGGAGAAGCACGCCACCGAGAACAAGGTGAGGGCAGGGAGAGGCTCCCCCCGCGTCGAGGTCCCTTGGGTTTGGGTTGAGGAACCCCAAGGTTGGGCTGAGAAGATCCAAGGTTGGGTTGAGGAACCTCAAGGTTGGGTTGAAGGGTGGAGGAGGAGGAGGAGATGAACGCCGAGCTGACGGCCAAGAAGAGGAAGCTGGAGGACGAGTGCTCGGAGCTGAAGAAGGACATCGACGACCTGGAGTTGTCCTTGGCCAAGGTGGAGAAGGAGAAGCACGCCACCGAGAACAAGGTGAGGGCAGGGAGAGGCTCCCCCCGCGTCGAGGTCCCTTGGGTTTGGGTTGAGGAACCCCAAGGTTGGGCTGAGAAGATCCAAGGTTGGGTTGAGGAACCTCAAGGTTGGGTTGAGGAGCCTCAAGGTTGAGTTGAGAAGATCAAAGTTTGAGTTGAGAAGATCTAACGTTGGGTTGGGTTGAGGACACCCAAAAGTTGGGTTGAGGAACCTCAAGGTTGGGTTGAGAAGATCCAAAGTTGAGTTGAGGAGCCTCGAGGTTGGGTTGAGAAGATCCAAGGTTGAGTTGAGGAGCCTCGAGGTTGGGTTGAGGAGCCTCAAGGTTGGGTTGAGAAGATCCAAGGTTGAGTTGAAGAGCCCCGAGGTTGGGTTGAGAAGATCCAAAGTTGGGTTGAGGAGCTTCGACGTTGGGTTGAGGAGCCTCGAGGTTGGGTTGAGGAGCCTCAAGGTTGGGTCGAGGAGCTCCAAGGTTGGGTTGAGGAGCCTCGAGGTTGGGTTGAGGAGCCCAAGGTCAGATTGAGAAGATCCAAGGTTTGGTTGGGTTGAGGAACCCCGAGGTTGGGTTGAGAAGATCCAAAGTTGGGTCAAGAAGATCCAAGGTTGAGTTGAGGAGCCTCGAGGTTGGGTTGAGGAGGCCAAGATTGGGTTGAGGAGCCTCAAGGTTGACTTAAGAAGATCCAAAGTTGAGTTGAGGAGCTTCGAGGTTGGGTTGAGAAGATCCAATGTTGGGTTGAGGAGCCCCGAGGTTGGGTTGAGGAGACCCAAGGTTGGGTTGAGAAGATCCAAGGTTGGATTGGGTTGAGGAGACCCCAAGGTTGGGTTGAGAAGATCCAAGGTTGGGTTGAGGAGCCTCAAGGTTGGGTTGAGGAGCTCCAAGGTTGGGTTGAGAAGATCCCAAGTTGGGTTGAGAAGATCCAAAGTTGGGTTGAGGAGACCCAAGGTTGGGTTGAGGAGGCCAAGGTTGGATCGAGGAGCTCCAAGGTTGGGTTGAGGAGCCCAAGGTTGGGTTGAGAAGATCCAAAGTTGGGTTGAGGAGCCTCAAGGTTGGGTTGAGAAGATCCAAAGTTGGGTTGAGAGCCCCAAGGTTGGGTTGAGAAGACCCCACCTTCCTCCTCCCGCAGGTGAAGAACCTGACGGAGGAGATGGCCGGGCTGGACGAGATCATCGTCAAGTTGACCAAGGAGAAGAAAGCCCTTCAAGAAGCCCATCAACAAGCGTTGGACGACCTCCAGGCAGAAGAAGACAAGGTCAACACCTTGACCAAGGCCAAAGTCAAGCTGGAACAGCAAGTGGACGACGTGAGTCCTCTCCCTGGTTGGGGGTGGGTGGAAGGTCCTATGGGGTGGGAGGTCCTATGGGGTGGGGTGGGAGGTCCTATGGGGTGGG